ATGTGTAATTCAGCTTGAGATCTGGGGCAGGGGGTTGCGGGGCAGGCAATTCTTTTTTACTCAGATGTACTGTGCAAAAGGCTAAATTCAATCCATACAGTGCTCTCAGTCATCTGAACACATAAAATCCCAGGAAGGCAAGGCCAGCTCGCCTCTGCTTACCATCTGTTCACTCTCCCAGCTTCAGGGAACTGCAGGGAGTAGTTAGACCAGGTACCTCACAAACATTTGACCTCCGCCTAGATCTCTTCTCTGAGGCAGGACTTGAATGTCACCCTGTTCATAGGACATAGTAGTTCCAAAACTAAATTTTTGATCTTCCCTCAACCACTTCTTCTCCAAGTGTTAGCTACCTCTGTGAATGCCACCAGCATCCAATAAATAGCTCAATATAGAGACCTAGAAGTTATCTAAGACTCCTCCACTGCCCCAGGTTACATATCTAACCTTTATCAATCTTATCCATTTTACCTCCCAAATATCTCTCATTTTTCTCCATCTCCATTATTCCCACAGTACCAAGCTAAGGTCATCTTTCTCTGCTAACATGCCATCACTTCCCAACTGATCAAGCAATAACCACACTGCAAACCTCCTTCATACAACTTATTCTTCCCTCCATAACCAGAGTGGTCCTTTCAAAATTCAAATCCAGTGGCACTACCCTGATATGGTTTGGCTCTGTGTCCCCACCCAAATCTCATCTCGAATTGTAACCCCCACGTATTGAGGAAGGGACCTGTAATCCCCAAGTGTCAAGGGAAGGAAGTGACAGGATCATGGGAGCAGTCCTCCATGCTGTTCTCATGATAGTGAGTTCTCATGAGACCTGATGGTTTTATATGTGTTTGACTGTTCCTCCTTCACATGCTGTCTCACCTGCCACCCATGTAAGACATCCTTCCTTCCCCTTTTGCCATAATTGTAAGTTTCCTGAGGCCTCACCAGTCATGCAGAACTGTGAGTCAACTAAACCTCTTTTCCTTATAAATTACCCAATCTCAGGCAGTTCTTTACAGTGTGAAAATGGACTAATTACATTATCCCATCTCCATCCCACTGCCATCCTGCCTAAAGCCCTACAGTACATTGCTGTTGCCCTTAGAATCAAGACCAGACTGCTTCCAGGGCCCACACCACCCTCTGGGGTTTTGTCCCCAGCTAGTTTACATCACACACCCCTCCTCTTCCTTTCTCCATCACATTTCACATGTACTTTTTTTTTTTCCATTTCAACCTTCCTTTATGTTTACCCTCTCATGCTCCCTCACCCCACAAAGCTTTTGTGCATTCTGTGCTCCTTCCTGGAACATTTTACCTCCCTCTGCATCTAGGTCATTGCCTGAGCTCAGGTTCCCTAAAAACCCTGGTCTGAGGCAATGAGTAAAAATGCTCCTATTTTGTTTAAGGAAGTGCAAATTCACGGCAAGAAGGTGAGGAAAACAGCAAAGAAGAGAGGACTGAGAAGCAGTGCAAAGTGAGGTATGCCATCCTGGCCACAGCTTTCCAAGTTAGGCCCTTTGCTGGGTGCGCCCATGTGGCCGTGAAGGACATCTCAGAGAGGCTGCAGAGGTATATAAGATCTTGCCTGAAACAGTGTGTTCATCAGAGAAAGGGAGAAGAGGAAATGAATCTTCCCAGCCCTTCCAAGGTCTTTTTCCCTAATTACTCAATTTTCCCCCAATGGGGAATTAATTCATTCATAGGTTCAGATTGTGACTTCCAGCCTCATTATTCGGGCAGACAGGCTGCAACCATAGTTAATTATTTTATCCAAACCTTGAAATAATGGGTAAAAAGATTAAAAACAACAACAACAGAAACTCAGGGTACATGGCTGGTTAGACTGGCTGTAGTAGGCAGCCAAGGGGAGAACCTGACCTTCTGAGGTGGAAGCTGGTCACCTCTAGGCAGGAGCACAGATCAGCCAAGGCTGAGGCCTAATTAGAGGATACAGTGGAGCATTAAGTCAACAGTGATGCACTCTTAGAATGTGGCTACACCCCTTGTAACCACAATAATGGTATTTACCACCATTCTAAGGACACAGAAAACGTGTTCGTAGTATTAAGACAAAGTGGCATCTAAAACTGTGTATAAACTATGTTTCAATTATAATCTTTAATTCGGTTACAATTTTTTTCCCCAAGAGTATGCATTAGCTTTACAGTTAAAAAAAAAAATGGAAGAAAACAGCATCTCAAGAAGAAGGGTCATCAGATTGCACAGTAATGACTCGGGGAAGTGCAAGCTTTGCAGGGATCAAGAACACCCAGGCTGGCAAGAAGCCAAAACAGAAGGGAGAGGGAAGGGGTACAGCCCGGAAGCAACATCAGGAGGCTCTGACGACTTTCTGAAGAATCTTGTATCTCCAATGCCTTAGATTCTTTATCTGTAAATTTCAAACAAGATATTCATTTGGGCATAATGAAGATTAAGTGAAGACATGCCTCTGGAAGCTGACTCAGAAACCCTGACGCTCTTCCTACATTTTCTTTCTAACCACTGCCACATGGAAACATGTCCTATGACTTTTCATCACAGGGACTATGGTCTTTTACAAGTTTATCTTCTTTCCTGAAACTTCCCTCTAACTAACTTTATTTGACATTGCAGCACTAAATAATAGATGTGAAACTTTCACATCTGTACTGGGAAACGTATGTTACAAAATAAAGTTGTATAATGCCTCCAGCTATCATTATAACTGAACAGCAGAGAATATTTCAAAATATTTTCAAAAAAGATTGTTAGGAAAAATTCGCACTTCAACACTGGTTTTTCTTTCAGTGTTGGGATGTTTTTGCACTTTCCAAATTTTCTACAACCAGCATAAGTTTTTTGTAATTCAAGAATTATCTATTCTAATATCTGTAATAAAATTGTCTATCAATTTGAGATATGTTTTTAAATGGGCAATACTAATAACATGAGGTGGCTCTGGCATTCTTATAATATTAGAAAATACATCCAGCCTATTTGGGAAACAATTAAATCTACTTGGGAAAGAACTAGAAAAGTGCATATCACTTTTAAATCATTACACTCATTAGTGCAGTAATTTTTTTTTTTGAAACAGATTCTCACTCTGTCGCCCAGGCTGGAGTGCAATGGCACAATCTCAGCCCACTGCAACCTCCACACCCTGGGTTCAAGCAATTCTCATGCCTCAGCCTCCCAAGAGGCTGGGACTACAGGCATGTGCCACCATGTCCAGCTAATTTTTGTGTTTTTTAGTAGAGATGAGGGTTTTTTCATGTTGGCCTGGCTGGTCTCAAACTCCTGGCCTCAAGTAATCCACCCTCTTCGGCCTCCCAAAGTGCTGAGATTACAGGTATGAGCCACTGTACCTGGCCTGGTGCAGTAATATTATACTACCAAAATTCTCCCCTAAAAATAATTTTAAATGTTGGTAAAGTCTTATGCACAGAGAAATGTGGATTATCATTTCTCATATGATCTTGGAAATAAAAAAAATTATAAAATATCCCCAAACTGTAAAATATAAATCATTACATAAATATATCCTTATTTTCACCTTCAAAAAGACACTAGAAATTAAATTTATAAAAAAAGAATTTTAAGTTTTAATCATAGAAATGTTTATATATTTGCAAAATACAGAGAATAGAATAAATTCCAGTTTCCATCAGCTAGCTTCAACAATTAACACAGTACCAGACTTACTTAATTCATACTCCCACTTACTTTGCCCCTTTCAAGTACATATTTTAAAGTAAAATCCTGACATATTGTTACATCTACAAATTCCTCAGCATGTGTGCTTCCAAGATAAAACTTTCAGAATATGACAATATTATTATACTGAAAAATTAATCATTATTAACATAAAATATCTAGTCAACAGTACAAATAGTTTTTATTTTTCTCTGTGACAGAGGAATTTTAATTCTTCTAATGACATGGAAATGCATATAAGAGGAAATGCCAGATACAAATCTGTATATACAACATTATTCAAATACACACAAACAAGTGTGCAAAGAGATTAGACACATGCCTTCATTAATTGAAGACCTGTAACTTCAGCGGTTCATGAGCCCCCTTGTCTTCTCCCACTTCTGATCTGTCAAATGTACTACCTGGAGTCCCACCCCTATGAGTGTATATGTGAGTATGGGAACATGAGTGGGCACTCAGTGGGTGAAACAAGCCCATCTTTCAGCATGTGCTTCCCAAATGAGTTTTGCTGTTCTCAAAATCATTGTATGAGTAGTTTATGGAAAGACATATATGAAGATTTGGGGATTTCCAAAATCTTTGCAAAATTTTCTTCTCAAATGTCATAGACCTAGCACAGTAAAATAAACTAGCGGGAGACCTGCTTCTCTGCCTTCTGGCTCCGCGGCATTTCCACTTCACTGGAGAAAAACGCCCTGCTGCCCCATTTAGCAATTGGCACAGCCTCGCCGCCACCAGGGCTCCACTGGCCTTGTTTCCTTTCAGTAGCCTGTGAGTTAGGTACCGCCTCTGAGAGATCAGGACTTGTCCCTTCAGGTTCCACTAAATACGTAGAGAACACAGTCCTTACTTCCAGGACGCTGACAATAGAAAGGAGGAGATGTCCATGGAGTAGAGGGAGTGCGGCTGTAAGAAGAGCCCGGGATTTCCCAGCCGTAATTTGCACCACTCCTACGTGCCCAGTTCCCTGTGGGTAAACTGGCTCTGCCCCATTCCTCCAAGACGACACCTTTCCATTTCACAGCCCTTCCTGACACTGTTCCTGCGCCTGCAATGCCCTCTCTCCAACATCTACCTGTTGGAAGCATTTTCACTCTTCCTCGCTCAGTTGGCTGTAACATCATAGCTTCAGAAGGCTCAGAGGGCTGTCTCCCACTGTGGCACTTGCTCCCTAGTTATCTCCATACCTCTCTCAGGGGCTGACAAGACTCAGGTGTGTCATGCTGCAGGGCCCCTCACAGTGCACTCCTCAATAAATGCTTGCCCGGTGTTATTGAACCCCGTTGTCTTGGGCGCTGATGCTAGTTCTGGAACCGGATGAAGTTGGCTCTTGCTATGGTCGGAATTTCGTCCCCACTCCTAACGTGTGTGCCGAAGCGCTGAACCCCAGTGTGATGGTATTTGTAAATGGGGCCTTTGGGAGCTAATCAGGTTTGGATGAGGTCGTGGGGGTAGAAGGTCATGACGGGATTAGTGCCTTTATAAGAAGAGACACCAGAGAGCTTGCTTTTCTCTCACACTCTCTGTCCCCTACCTCCAACCTCAGGGACTCTATTCTCTGTCAAATGTGAATATTAAAACCTGTCTCACTTCAAAAAAAAGATAATAAAGTTTATTTTCTGTTAAAGAGATCATGCTTTCCAATTTATTTATCAAATGCTTATTTTTTCTTCTATTTAATAAACCAGAGCCAACATATTGTTGCCACAGTAAATTGTTGGGAACAAAATTAGCCAGTGCTTGCCAGTCACCTCCTATCATGCCTGCAGCACAGAGAACACACAAGAAATGGAGGTAGTTATCGGGCCATGTATTATGTCTATCCCTGGACTCAAAAAAGAGTATATGTCACTAGCTTTCCATCTAAGGGAAATGGATTGAGTAAATTGTATCTATTTTCCCTATTTTACCACATATCTGAGCACTATTTTTTACAGATATCAAACTATATGATCTAATTATAAGCCACATATAAATAACGTGTTTGTTTTTTTACCCAAGCCTGTGTACTCCTTGCTTATATTGTTTTGAGCTTAACCCTCTTAAATCCTCCACATTTCTCAACTACTAAAGGGTATTATTTCACCATTCCATATAACATCCAAGGAGATAATCTCTAATATTGTATGTATTTTCAAAACTGAATTAAAAGGCAAGTAAAGAAAATTAGTAATGAGTGACTAGACCCCTTGTTAAGCTGTCTCCAGGTTTCTCCAGTTGGACATGATGATAGACGTGTTGCCTGCAAATAATTATTTTAGATGAAGGTATTCTAAAGACCTATATTTACATGTATCTAGCTATAATATATTCTATTAGTGAATATATCATGGAAGACAGCTTAGATTCTGAGTTTGAATTTTTTTAAAAGTCTATTATTATAACAGAAGGAGGAAATCAAAGGCCACGTCCCAGCTTTCGCTTTACCTGTATGACAGAGTGATTCTCATGAGCCAATCTTCCCTTCAGGGCCTTAGGACTCAACAGTGATTGTGAAGGACATCGCTATCTATTAAACATACTATATTTGGATCATGAAGCAAGTAATGTAAGCTGTCGAATATAATTCAGAAAATGCTAGTGGTTTGTAAATATGACTTTTTAAAATAGTACAAAACAAGTATATTTTTAACAGTGCTTGTCAAGGGAGAAAAGAAATTGCTAGCCTGCTGGCTTTAGAAAGCATACGTGTCACAGTGACTCCCAATAGGTGATGTGCTTTCATGCCCAAATGTGGTGTGTGTGTGTGTGCGTGTGTGTGTGCATATGCGAGCACACGTGTGTGTGGCAGAAGCAGAGGAAAAGGAGTACTTAGCAGAATCATCTGGAGACATTTCAAAACATACCTTCCTTCTTTTAATTAGGGCTTCATCCCACAAACGTATCAAGTATCCATTAGGAACAGACATCTTTTGGTATGTGCAACTCCCATCCTTTAATATCACCCCTTCAATAAGACACATATTCGTGAATGTATTGGCTCCATCTCTGGAGGTGAGAAATAGTGTATGCTGTGCTTGATCTGTTTATCTCTACAAAAGTCGTCCTTATCTTCAACTAATTAAAGACTCTTCCATGCAATATCCAAGGAGGTAATCTATCAACACATCTATTTTCAAGCTAGAAAACAAAAAAGTGAGACACCAAAAATTTGAGACATTTCTTCAAGATTACACAGCAGCTAGTCATTAGTAAAGGTAAAGATTTGGGCTCCAAAGAGCAGATGAGAATGAATGCCTGGACAGGCAGATGACCCTGGGGGAGAGAGAAAAAGGAAGCCGGCAGGACTGAGGCAAGCACGGTAAGTTCTTCCTTCTCATCAGTCAGGGAAGGGACATGCCTCCTTCTTCTGGAGGAATGTCCAGGATGAGGGGCAGAGGGCAGTGTTACCCAAATACAAGTCCCTCCAAAGGGAAACATCAGCCCATGATTTAAGATTCCCCTAACAGCAAATACTTGTTTTGAGGGGAAACAAGTACCTGGATGAGTACTAGAGAAGTGTGCAAAGCAAGGTTTGGTTTGTGGACTCTTCTTGAAAGATGGAATGCATATTTCCTCTAGCCTCCCTGTTTAATCATGCCTTACTATGCCAAGTTTACTTGATACTTAAGAGAGAGAAAACTTTAGAAACCCAAATTAGCACACTTAGCACAGCCTATCTAAGGAAGAAAATTCAGTGTGTCCACATGGCTGTGCTCCCAACTCCTTCCTATTGATTGTATACAGTTTACATATAATCTCTCCATCTCTCTCCTCAGCCAGCACATAGCAAAGCACTCTGGCTCTCTCCCATGGGACTCTCACAGCCATGACAAGGTCATCCTCCTTCTCTCAAGACTACTTTTTAAATCCCAGTGTGTGTGTGTTTGTATGCATGTGTATGTTCTATTCTGCACATATCATTACCTCCTTACTGTTTTCTTATTCCTAATTTTTTTATTTTGGAGAGGGAGTCTCACTGTGTCTCCCAGGCTGGAGTGCAGGGGTGCAATCTCGGCTCACCGCAACCTCCGCCTCCCAGGTTCAAGCAGTTCTGTCTCTGTCTCTTAAGTATCTGGGATTATAGGTGCATGCCACCACACCAGGCTAATTTTTCTATTTTTAGTAGAGATGATGTTTTGCCACATTGGCCAGGCTGGTCTCCAACTCCTGACTTCAAGTAATCTATCCTCCTGGGCCTCCCAAAGTGCTGGGATTACAGGTGTGAGCCACTGCACCCAACCTCCTCTTTAATTATCAGCACTTCCTACACCAGATTTCACACTACAAATCTGTCTTCTTCTCCTTAAAAAACATGTAAATCGGCCTGTTCAGAGATTCAAAGAAAACTGAAATCTTCCACAAAGGTTAATAAAATAGTTGTTATGACATATAAAACCTATGGGGATTATCCACTGATTTTGCATGTAATATCCAGTTAGCTCCAGAATTCTGGAATTGGCTTCTCAATTACTTTCAGGCTAATTTTGAAGTCTGAAAGGAAGGAAAAAAATTAAAATTGTCGTCCTCCAACTAAGAAAAAGCTCCAAGAGTCCCAATGCCCCCAAACACTCATTCTCATTTAGGTAATTACAAAGTGCACTGAATGAGTGACTTAAATGAAAAACAGTAATAATTCCATAATTACAAAATAATAGAGATTGTATGCAAATTTTTGTAGGCTCTCTTCTCCCCATATTCCAGAGCAAAACTGAGCCACTGTCTAAACTCTATTGGTTTTCTCCTCCCCTGAGACAATGTCCAACATCGCAGCATGAATCCAGCAGGGTGCAGGACATCACACACAGAGTTCGTTGCTTCTGAAGGGTTTTCAGGTGCCCAAAGACAGGCTGCAGGTGGTGCAGTAAAATTCAGAAAAGCACCAGAGTATCATACATCCTGATTCAACCATTCTATCTGTACAAAGAAAATGGGATCCTTGCATAGCATAAATTGATTTGTTTCTATGCTGACTCTTATTTTATCAATGGCCTGTGGGCATATGCAAATATTTTTAGCCAGGTCAGTATCACATGCATATATACCACACACGGCAGACAAAAATTGCCACCTACCAACCTTCTTTAAATAAACAAATTCAAACAAGTCAAAACCAAAGACGGTCAAGAAAAATGAATGTGCTGCTATAATTAGGTAATGCTTTCATAATTCCATTTGGATATTTTCCACAAACTGCAAGTAGGTTAAACTCCAAGGCAAGATCTACATTTCTCCCAAAAGCAGGTGTAGCTGCAGCCTGAGGAAGAGGCATCTCGCTGCTGCAGCCAGTTCCTGGGAGGTCTACATTACACTCTGAGCCAGGTCTCCCTCTACCATTCCAAGAAATCCCCAGCTGACCTCAGAAAGAATCACACAGCCTCTTTTCAGAGAATAACAAGTCAAACCATTAAATTAGATGACAGCACATTTATCTTCATTTTAAGCTGAACATGAATTATCAAGTTGTCTATAGAGTAAAGCTTTCATGTTTGCATCCCTAAGTTATCCCCATTGATTTTACCCTTGTCATTAGCACATTGCTTGAAAGTCTGAGCCAAAACATCTGGGAAAAAGCATAAGAGTAAGTATGGATCTCCTCTAAATTTTTGTTTACATCTCACAATTATTATTATTATTACTATTATTATTATTTGAGACGAAGTTTCACTCTCGTTACCCAGGCTGGAGTGCAATGGCGTGATCTCGGCTCACTGCAACCTCCGCCTCCTGGGTTCAGGCAATTCTCCTGCCTCAGCCTCCTGAGTAGCTGGGATTACAGGCACGCGCCACCGTGCCCAGCTAATTTTTTGTATTTTTAGTAGGGACGGGGTTTCATCATGTTGACCAGGATGATCTCGATCTCTTGACCTCGTGATCCACCCGCCTCGGCCTCCCAAAGTGCTGGGATTACAGGCTTGAGCCACCGCATCCGGCCCAATTATTTTTTTAAAAAAGCAAATTCATCAACACAAAATGTTGTAACTAAATATTACACAATAAATTCAATGTTAAACTTTGACTAGTTTCGATTAGAACTATATTAATGCAACTCAGTTCACAGTCCCCATTTTACTTTGTCAGAGCAGAACTACCCATCAAAATGGAGGCCTGCAAGTAAGAGGAGGAAGAGGGAGGAGACAGAACACAGAAATCTTCTGAGTGGCTTTGGTGACAGGTGGGTAGGAGTCACTACCTGCCATTTGCATGTAAGTGTTTTTGTTCCTCTTGTTTATTGGTCCTATTTACGCCTGTGTATCCAGGTATGTATTAAGTACATCAGAATTTAATTTTCTATGTATAATCAACACATCCCACAAAAGGTTTGAAGTAGGTGCCATTCACGTTAAAGAATGTACATAAGTCACTCTTAAAAGCTAAGAACTTTCTACACACACACACACACACACACACACACTCACACACACAAAAGCACCCAGTTGCAGAAGTTGCCCAAAATGTGGTCACCAATGATTGGACAGTAAGAATCAAAGTAGCTCAGGAAAGAGTTTATTTCTAGCCACATTGGTCCAGAAGGCATAACAGAGAAAAGGTTGCTGAGAGGACCCTGACGTGATGTCAGGATAGGTGAAGAAACGTGTAGAATGAAGACAAATGACAAACAGATGAAAGACAGGAAAAAAGTACATGATTCCAACGCTTCAACGTGGTCACCATTATTTCTACTACTTCTACCCCTATTTATACTTATGTACATTACAGACCTGTTTTGGATCACATTCAAGATGAAAGATTAAAGCAGAGAGTAAGCGAGTTAGTGTGACAGGAGCAAGTGGTCTGTGAAAGGAGTACTAGGCCGAAAGTAAGACTAAAAATAAAAACTGGGCCCAGACTTTGAAGTATTGGAAATCCAGAAATAATAATGTGTTTAGATTTTAACCTATAGGGAACAGCAGTCATTAAAGGGTTTATGCTGTAACCTATGTAAAAGAGATGTTTCCAAAGGGTTGAATTGGTAGCGGTGTTAGGAGGAATAAAACTGGGAAAAGGAGACAACTTCAATCAGATAAACGAGGCGTGTTCATTCCAACGCAAGACAAATGAAATTTTCATGAAATTCTCTTCTTCAGCTTTGAAAAAGACAAACGGATGTTGACAAATCGAGGCATAAAACAAAGTTCGAGGCATCAGGGTCAGAAATATGTCTGTGGTATTTCTTGTAGTCAGACAGTTCAGAGGCAGGGCGCCGTTCAATAATCAAACATTTGTTCTCAATGCACTCTATTGTGTCACTCCAGAATATCCAGGAAGCAAAAAGGACAATTGTAGGTCACTCGATTTCAATTGGAAAAGAATTTTTGACCAACGAAGTAAGCACACAAGTAATTTCTCCCAAAATTTTTGCAGAGTAGCTGGAGTCAGTGCTGAGTGCGGCTGAGAGCAGTGAGGGGACACACTGTGGTGGCATGTGCTGGCAGGTGCTTGGGCCTGCATGCTGCTGCAAAGTCAGGATTGCAAATCATACACTTGGGAGGGAGCTGACACCTTATCCTGAGATGCCAACACCAGCATGGCCAAGGCTTCCCTTGCATGGCTGTGACCCAGAAGGCACATCTGGTCAGGCACAAAGGGGAGATTTCTGCTAAGGTCGGTCAGACCAGGAAATACTGTTTTACTCCATGGTGTTCAGGGCCTCAAAGAGCCTCATGCTTATCTAGCTTTGCTTAACACCTCCCATGCTCCAAAATAATCAGGCGACTCTCCCACTCATATCCCAGCCATGATGTCATCGCCACCACCATCTGATTATATCCTTTCAGGTATTAGAAACGAGCAACCTATTTATTTTCAATTAACTATGAAAAATACTTAATTTGTTATTTGTACCATCATCTCATTACATGAAGGACTTGAGCCAGATTTCAGAGATACGTATAAGAAAATGGGATAATAAATAAGTTGGAAATTAATGAAGGAAGGAAAATAAGATGATAGAAATAAAAGTCGTAAAAAGATGATATTACAATATAAAGTATGGGTTGAAGATCCATTGAGTCAGGCTCATCGGAAGAGACTGGATATTAACGCTTTAGAAACAAGTATATGTGAGATTGGTTGATAAGTCTATGGACCTGTATTCACTGCAGGTCATTGGAAGAAGTGAACTGAAAGTAAAACTAAGTCAGCCAAATACCCAGAAGAGAAAGAGATAAGTAGTTAAGATAAATGAGAAAAGCTAAGCAGAGCCTGCTACGGTGACTGCTGAGAAAGAGGAATCATGACACTGTGCATTCTCGTGGGGACAGGGACCCAGTAGGAACAGCTCTGCCACAGTTCACAAAGCAGGTGGGATAAAGTGGAATTTGAAATTTTCCAACATGTCTATGGCTACCTTGTCCAGGTCACAGGCTGGGGAATGTAAGTCTAAAATTTTCCAAATCTCTCTCTGAGCATCTTGGCAACCAAAGCAAAGTAAAGAGGAAAATCACGAAACTGCGGAAGTATTTCCCAAACTGGTATCTGACTGATGCTGTTCTGCCAGACATTAATTATCACGTCCCACATGCCACACACATGATGTAAGAAATATTTGCAAATTCAGGATTTAAATAAAGTGAATGTTTGTTTCTTCCTAAGTGTTCAACTACACATAGCCATCAATGTGATGATTACCATATAAAGGGACCAGAAAGCTTTTTCCATGTGCCACTTACTGGTCTGCTTAGAAAAGGACTCTGCAGAACACAGTTTGGGAAGTAATGACTTAAAAATCTAATGATGGAAAACCCTCAAAAAACTGTGTATAGAAGAAATATACCTCAACAAAATAAAAGTTATAGATGACAGACCCATAGCTAGTATCATACTCGATGGGGGAAAACTGAAAACGTTTTCTCGAATATCTGAAACATGATAAGGATGCCCGCTTCCACCACTGTTATTCAACATAGTACTAGGAGTTTTAGCTACAGTAATCAGACAAGAGAAAGAAATAAAATGAATCCAAACTGGAAAGGAAGATGTCAAATTATCCTTGTTAGCAGATGATATGACCTTGCATTTGGAAAAACCTAAAGATTCCACCAAAAACCTATTCGAATTGATTAACAAATCAGTAAAGTTGCAGGATACAAAGTCAACATACAACAATCAGCATCATTTCTCTATGCCAATAGCGAATAATCTGAAAAAGAAGTCAAGAAAGTAATCCCATTTACGATATCTCAAATACAAAAATTAGCCAGGTGTGGTGGCTGGCGCCTGTAATCACAGCTACTGGGCAGGCCAAGGCATAAGAATTGTTTGAACCCGGGAGGCAGAGGTTGCAGTGAGCTGAGATCATGCCACCATACTCCAGCCTGGGGAATAGAGCCAGTCGCTTGTCTCCAGAAAAAAAAAAAAAAAAAAAAAAAAAAAATTGGCCCAAATTACTGTCTGATTCTCTAAATATGTGGTTTTATAGTGGTCTAACTTGATCCAAGAGTTCCAAAATTTAGAACAATAAGAATAGATTATCACATGCACTTCAAACTTCAAGTCATCTTGAAGAAATATTTTAGCCTGATATCTAAGCTAAGATATCCTACAGCTAAGAGTTAAAGCTCTTTGGAAAGCCTTTGCAGATAATCTACAGCACTAATTAAAGACAGATTGATTTATTTTGTGCCTAACCAAAGAAAAAGACTAGGATTTTCATCTCTTAATAAAATTTATGGATTTATGCTTTAATAGGAAGCTCTGAAACTTACCCATCAGGTAGGTAAAGGAAAGGCTGGCAGAAAAGATTATGTATCTCAACAGCAATATCAGGTCCGCTTAAACAAAAGGTCTTAAAGTTTTGCATTATTGAGCTTATAAATGAGTATTTTCTACTAGAGAATTTTTAAAGCAGGTGTTATAAACCACCTGTTTAAACCATTTAAACTTCTTTCGGGATTGCAGTCAAAGGACATCTAATTTTAATGAAGGTAACTTCCTGGTCTACCTCCAAGATAAATTGAATTAAAAATGTAATCCCAAGTAACTAAATGAGTTAACCTGCTACATAGGATTTTAGTGATAAGCCAATTATATTTAGAGAATGCCTGCCAAAAAATAATGACTAGATTTTCAGAGAAATTGATCTTGGGCCACTCTTACTGATGCAACTTTGAGAGCAGGGCCACATGCCTACTGAGGAATGGCCAGGTTTTCACAGTCACACTCTGTTGTCAGCACCAGAAGAGTCTCCCTTTTTATTCTCATGTTAATAGAGCATCCAGTATTCAGAACAGTATTATGTCATTGAGAAATAAGGTAAACACAGAACCCGAATATGGTTCTATTTGCCCCTTCTAAAATTGTTATTATCAAAGAGAGTGTTCTTACTCAGCTAGACATGTGTGGGGGTTTCTCTCTGAGCCTAAAGAGCTGACCAGGGCCCAGAATAGCAGCTATTATGAGTCCTTATAGCCAAGCTCATTGCTTCCTGACACAGAGTCAAAGACTTACCTATCATCTGCAAGAAACAGTCCTGTCTGTCTTACATTATCCTCACACCTTGTGTGTTGTCTAGTGTCAATATTGGTGTCCCCACTTAACAGGGAGCCCATGCTAAGGTACAGCCAATGGCTAAAATCACAGTCCATATGAACTCCCTGCCTACCTCAGCAGAGCTTGTCATGAAACTATGCCCATGCCTCCCAGCATCACATGAGATGGAGGATCATCAGTCACTTCTTCTGAGTGAGCATAACCAATTTCCCCATTCTGCTGCAACTGTCAGAGTGTTTAGGCCTCATTCTGTGATTCAGGGCCCTGAAATTATTCCAGAAATCAAAGGGTGACAAGAAAAATAACCAAAAATCTGTTTTGGTTTTTAACAAAATAGGAATAAAATTATGTAGCAAAAGACAACCTGCAATGATGTTAGCACTCGGAAATGGGTTTTTTTGCAAGTTGACACTCTGAAATATGTCCTGAGGCTTTTCTTGGATAAGATCTACATACTGGTCTCTGGCCAGGTTGCTATGAATCATTGCAGGAGGCATTGAGGTCTAGGTTCTAATCTTCCAATACCTCTCTGTAAAAGCAGCCTATCACACAGTGCTCCTGGGTTCTCTGAGCTTCCAAAGCAAGTGAAAAGGAGACACTGTTGCACTGATACTCTCTAGAGAGTGAACTGCCACCCCCAACATGCTGTCTTCCTTCTTATTCATCAATGCCTTCTGTACAAAATAAGCCAGTGATAAATCCACATATATTGAGCTCCTGTTAAATTCAAAGTACTCTGCCAAGAAAGAAGGATAAGCTATTCTTCCCACACTCAGGAAGCTAAAAAGCAAAGTTGGGGTAATATATATATATATATTTATGTATTATGGTGTATGTTATATATAATTATATATTACATATATTATAAATGTATCTAAATATATTTTATAATATATTATATACAATATATATTATTACCCCATATATATGATACATAACCCTATAGGTTTTGGATTGAGCCTTGGGCTTAAAGCTAGGCTTCATCACAGGCTGCCTTAGTCACTTTGCTTAACATTAAAGTACAGAGGGTGTTCAGCACAGTGTTTGGCCCAAAGTAATTTCCTAACAAACTGTAATTATTATCCACAATACATCCAGAAAGTGACAGGTCTTTGAGGAGCATTGTTGGTCTAACATATATAGGTAACTCTTGTAGACACATAATTTAGATATCGACTCCTTCATAAGTCTACTTAGGCTGCAGAGGTGTGTGTGTGTGTGTGTGTGTGTGTGTGTGTGTAAGTTATCCCTTGAAATGTGGCAAAATTCCCATAACTTGTAAATATTACAGCAGGACTGGGTTCAAACCCTGACGCTATCTGGCCCAAAGCCAGATACCAGAACAGAACACTGGTGCTGCAGTCTGGACTTACCCTGGCCAATATGGGAGCCACTAGCCAATATGGCTATTTAAATTTAAATTCTAATTAAGTTAAAAATCAAGTTCCTCAGTTACACTGGCCACATGCCAAAGGCTCAAAAGCCACACGTGGCTTATGGCCACAGTGTTGGATAAAACAGATATTATAACATACCTATCAGCACCAAAAATTCTAGTGGGTAGCACCAGTCTAGATATAAAGATGAAAAGAATAAACTATTTTTTACAGGCCGGAAAAATAATGGTACCTTTTAAGTTAAGGCAATGATAGAATGAAGAAAGTGATCATTCTGTATCCCTGAGTAAGGCTGTGATAATTACTAAGAGCATAATTAAATAAAACTCTCACTTTCACGTTTAGGTCTCTGCTATGCAGGAGTGAGGAAGCAACTAAACTTCTAGAAGCTGCTACTATCTGTCTAGTTAACATGCTTCATCAAGAGATGTGTTCTATTAACGTAAGTTTGTCTCCATTTCTTTAGTAAAACGCTACCAGCAAAATGAAATTGTGTGGAACAGTCAAACAAGGTGTTAGAAATATCACCATGGATTCAAGCCAGTATCAACTCCTTTACAGGTTTACTTAAGCTGTTAGCTCTTTTCTTTGGTGCTCAGTTAGATACTTGATTTGTGTTTTTTTTTTCTTAAAACAATAGTAGAAATGCCCAAGTGTTTGAATTAGCCTCCTTTTCAAGAGTTCAGTTTAACCAGCTTTAAGAAAAAAACTTACTTGTAGAATAGAACCTTCATTTCATTTTTATTCATTTACTTAATCAAGAAATATTTGCCAAAAAAAAGGGGAGAAATATTTGCTTATCACCTGCTCTGTATCTACCTGCTGCTGGGCTGGATGCTAAGGATGCAAAAATGACCCAAAATAAACTGGGCCCCTAATGCCATCGCATTTATAGCTTCCAGTCTTCTCTCACCACGGAATATTTAGATTTTACTGCAAAAGATTAAAAAATATATAGGAAATAATTTGACTGATAGCTAGCAAATAATGACATATCCCAAATACAACAAATTAATCACCACTGGAATATAAATTCTTGCTCACCACTCTCTCTTTCCTCTTCCTTACTGTGCCTCTGCCTTATACTATAAGCCCTGTAAATATTACACTTATTCTCAGAGAAAATTCAGGTATAAAGTTCTTATTTTTTTTTATGGATGTGGAAAAAAATGTACAAAAAAACCCACAACTGTTGGTTCAAGTTTATACACTTTATGTAGAGATCCTAGAAATAGAAATACTGCCTGGCAAGGAAAGCCAGAACTGGACAGAGGTTAAGGTTGAAGTCGTGAACACAAATTTTATTCAGGAACAATTCCAAAGGAGACAGAAAACCAGGTTCAATTTCAAATATAGCAAGGACAAGTGGGGATTTATAACCAGGGAGGAGGGTGACGTCAGTGGATGGAAAATTACTGAGAGAAAACATCAGGTGTAATGAGGACTCTGACTAAATCAGCTTCATAGGATTCTTGGCGAAGGTGGGCCAGGATGATCACATACCAAAGGTCATGGGGATGAAGAGTTTGATTGAAAAACCACATTCAGATATTTGAAAGTCTGCTTCCTATTTCACTACATTTAAATTATAAATGCAAGTGAGTTGTTACCACTGCAGCATGCCAAAGCTGAGTTAGGTAGCCAGAAAGACTCTAAAAGTAAGAATCCTTTCATTTTGTCAAATTTTGCCAATAAGAATTCTTAAAATGGTGAGCCTACAAAAGCCAATATGATTGAACACTGTTTCATGTTCTATGCAGTCAATTTGCATGTTCCGTATGGCCTGAAGACAAGTGGCCATGAGCAGTGAGCATTTTTAACTAGAGTCTAAGAAACCATACTGTTTCTAAATGCAATATAATGGAAAATTCCACTGAGAAAGAAAAAATCACAAGTCAACCTAAACCAGTAAGATAATATTAAAAGGACAGAGAATGGACAATATCAGTAACTTCATTGTTATGTAACACATCTCTATCATAAAGAAGCAAATTATCTTGGTATTATCTGAAAAACTAGGAAGACTAAGGACACATGCTAAGCAAGAACTAGTCCTGTTAAGGACATTCAGCATAGAAGCTGCTAATCTTAATAGCAACTGTTCTTTTCAAAAACTGTATATTCAACATTCTGTGCATTTTGACTTTGGTTAGAAGAGTTAAGAAAATAAGATGACTACCTATTTAAACATGAAATAAAATCATGCAACAATTGTGCATTTCTTTCTTTCCCAGGACTTCACACAATCACTTCAAATGCTGCCATAAAAAAGGAGAATATTTTGGTACAGGAAAAAGATTCATTAGTAAAGAGCAGGATGCAGTTTCCAAGAGATATAGGCAATACATTCGTTTTTCTATGAGAAAAATACAACAGTTATGTTGCATTGACTATTGATGGCAAGACAACTAAAAGAGACCCACCAGACTTCTCCTAATGAGTCTAATTTTACCTTCAATTTTTCCTTTTCTAAATATGAAATCTGAATTTTTGTCTTCTTCCTTTTAACACTTTTGGTCATACATTAGTGGTTTCCAGTCAAAACTTTGCCCTCTAAATCTCAAATTCATCAAGCTTGAAGTTTATTTTGAAAACACTTCCCATCAAATAAATGTTTTAAACTCTCTCTGGCCAGCTAACTTTGTTTGCTCCCAAATAGTTCTTACTAAAGTACCCTTTCTTATTCATCTAATCATCCTGTCATCATAAAGTTCCAGTATTATTTTCTAACAGTTGAGTACAATGCATATTCCTTCCCCCAAAGAATTCACAATTGACTTTAAAAGGTAAATAATATACACATGTTATGGTAAATAACAATAGAAATCAGTAAATTACACATTCACCAAAGACCTTTTTCTGGACAGCCAAAGTAATCAGAAAAGTCTATTTTTAGAAAAAGTGGCATTTAATTAGGTTCTCAACAAAGGAAAGACTAGAGAGGGAAGACATTCTATACAAAATAAAAGGAGAAATGGTAACTGTTAGGACCAAAGGCAGAAATGCACATGTTACATTCCAGAAGGCAGTGATAAGCCAAATTGGCTTATATACTCAAAGTATATTTATATGTAATACTTGACTGGCTTATCACTGCCTTCTGATGGCTGCAGGGAAAGGTTTTCAAAACTTTCTTAATAACTGAGTTTTACTGGCCTTCTTTCTAGAATGTTCAGGACTAGCAATAACTTCCCTTTACTGCTGTAAGCACATTCACGTAAAAAAAATGATTAGACCCAGAGAAAATGTTATTGTTTCTAAACAATATTCTCTATTTCAGGATCTTCAAAATCCAGGTAAGAAGCACAGTGAAAAACTCATTCACTGCAAGCTTGGCCCCATCCATCAGTACCAATGAAGAGAGACAAATCAAGATAGAAAGACATCATTACCATCTCTATTGACAGTAGTACTATGTACTAATGAATAAAAATCATTCCTTTACACAGTGCTCTACAGCTATTTCCTATACTCGTTTCATTCTTGCAATGACCCAAGTTTAAGTGTCGTGCTTAAACCTAAGTTGGCACATGTTAATATCTCTACTTTACCAATGAAAAAACCCAAGGTTAAGCAATTTATCCTTAGTCGCCTTGCTATCCAAGGCCGAGCCACACTTTTTAAACCTGGCCTTTGGAAACCACAAGTGCTCTGCCACCAATGCCCCTAAGACCAGCAAAGATCCTAGAACTGTTTAGTACTAGCGGGCGAAGTCGCAAGTTTCTTTTGTCTTGGCATTGTAGTCGCCTACCTAACCACATCTACAGAGTGCATGCTGAAAACAATGGCCAACAAAAATCAGGATGCCTCCCCCTGGAAAAATCCATACAATATAAGAGCGAGAAAGAGAGAGGGAATGGTAGACTCCTAATTAAAGTTTGAAAGGTTTCTTAACTTTCTTAAAGACTAATAGCACAGCAGAGACTGATTTTCAAAGGGGTTTATTAATTTTCCTTAATTTTAAACTAAGTCTCAAAGTATATTTTATTCATATTCAGAAAAGGATAAATGGAAGATCAAAAAGCAATAATGCAGACCTCACCAGTGCCCAGCCCCTGAGGGAACCATTGCATTGCATTTTTTATGTCAGCCGACCTTTTCTTTTTAGTATTCATGAAAACTTAGCAAATAATCACACTGAATTGATTTCAGGGACATATATCCATTGCTTCCTGCCTGAAACGTGAAGCTCAAGCATGGTTATCTGACACAGGAATGCCCTTTCATTCTGTCTTCAGTAAGAGCAACTGTATAGAACAAGTAAATGAGCGACCGGATGAAATCTCCCATCCCACAATCTGCTCTTGCCTTGCTATTCAATTCATCTCTCTTCATCTGCACAGGGCTCTTGTTCTCCTTCAAAGCCAGCTCTGGGGCTATGGAGGAAAATTCAGGTACAATGAACAGAAACCACTTCACTTGTTAGCCAAGAGGATATTTAAGGTGCTGAGCAATGAAAAGTTAATACAATTTACTATCCAGTCTCCATAAATCACCTCTAAGTTTAACATCTTAAAGATCCTGTCAGACACCATGCCCTGCGTTTATGCTGTTTATCCGTATATCATTCATGAGTTTCATCATGACATGCTGAGAAAAACAATGCATTACAATGCAAGATTGAATCTCTGCTATTTATTTTCACTTTATAAGACAGATTGGCTAACAGATAACTTGTTCAAAGGAAGGCAAAAGACAGTCAAATGTCATGGGCTCAAGATAAGCCAGCTGGCACTATCAACCGCACTAGGCAGGCTACCAATTTATAATTCAGCTGTTGGAATGTTTATCATTGCAATATTCAACTTCCTGGAGCAAACACTGACCACTTTGCCAGTAACAGGAGCCAAAATACCATTATATTCCACTGAGGGGTCACAAAAAGATAAAAGGCCAAGCAACCCATCTTACACAAACCCTCACATTTGTCCACGAGGGGCTTCACAATGGGGTGGCCACTTGCAAGTAAACGTGATGTGCTCTGATTTCTGATTTGGAGTACTAAGACTTAGTTTATTCCCATGGCCAAGAGTCCTGGGTTTTCTTTAACCAAAATCATTCTTTTAGCTTAAGATGTCATTCTCTACAATGCATTTTCTAAAATGGGTATATGGGTAACTTAGTATGATTCATGCTGAACCAATTTAAAAAGTATTGACTTGCTATCACTCAGCAAAGCAGGAACTGGGCAGGTGTTTTTAGGAGACAGCCTGTTTGTAAATTTTCAGAGGTCAGAACGCTAAAGGGGAGAGCACCGGGTGAATTGGTAATATTGAGTCCTTGTGCAGCCAAAGGAGATCGGGAGAACATATAGTTCTTGGAGCAAGGAGACACTGTTAAGTAGACAATTAAAAAAAAATAGAGAAAGCCGGGCACAGTGGCTCACACCTGCAATCCTAGTAACTCAGGAGACTGAAGCTTAGGGTCACTTTGAGGCCAGGAGGTCAACACTAGCCTGGGCAACATAGAGAGACCCCATCTCTATAAAGAAAAAATTAAATTAACCAGGCATAGTGGCACGTGCCTACAGTCTCAAATACTTGTGAGGCTGAGGTGGGAGAATTGCTTGAGCACAAGGAGAAAATTAGAAAGGTTCTCACTTTTGGCCTACTTTTGAATTTTGTCCCAGTCTGTAATAATTATAAAATTCAAATTTCCCCAGAACTGATGAACTGCAAGATTAAAGGAGAACCACGACACACAGTGAAAAGACTAACCCCAGGTGGGAAACAAGGAGACCAAAGGAAAACAGCATGTCAAGCAGTTTAGAAATAAAGTTCAGGAAATTCAATATTCACTGTTAATTTTCCCATGAATCCCTTATATTGTTTGCTTTTTTGTCTCTAGCCAGCTGTGCTTTTTAATAGGACAATTATTTGCTATTCAGATGTATTCCATTATTTCTTAAAAGTTCTATAGGATTATCAAGTTGTCCATTTGAGAAAATTTTTCTCCACTTTTTATTGCCTCATGAAGCATCCACAATGTGATTTTGATGATACATTCTTCATCTTCATTAATAACTATCATGTTAACAAGTAAAGATATAAACTGTTTGTAGCTTTAGTTCAAGGGGAGATAATGAGAGCTACATAAACTTGATATGAATTGGAAATTGGATGACATGAATAAGGCCACAGGGTTAGCAGTTTCCAGAGCTGTGGCCACAGAATGAATGACTCAGACGTGAGTGCTCAGTGACAACAAGGTGCGGCACAGCCCGCCTCCACTGAAGACGAGCTTATCAACCTCCAACAAGGCCTCCAGCGGCTCAGTAGCTGGGAACACTCTGGAGAGGAACACAAGAAGCTGCTTCTTTTATTATTCCCTTGAAGAAGCCAAAATATGGTTTTCAATGTGATGCAGACTGGAGATACTGATTTATTCTAATGATGATTTTAATGTAAGCTACTTACTTGTGCTTTTAGTACAAAGTACTTTGAGATTTGTGTGTGTTTGTGTTAATGGAGAAATTCTCCATTGGTGTGCCTGGGCCTCTTCTACCTGCAAGTATAATCAATAGGGGAAGATACTTGGGGACTTTTCTGTCTACAAAATTGAACTAGTGCCACCATATTTATTTCTCATCAATCTCTTTTGACGGGATTATCGACGTGTGTGTAAAAGTGACTTTCCTAGCTTGATTCATTTTTGCCTCTTCTTTAGATGAGAAAAACATCAAATCCCTGATGAAAACAGTTCAATGATACTACACTGATTATAACATGCTTACTTACTACATTATTCATTGTGTTCTCTAGATGAATCATATGTTTTCTATTTTTGAAAGTGCCCTGGAAAAGGTTAAATCATAAATGCCCCTTAGTGCTTACCTGGAGAGAAGCGGAAAGTGACTTTCCCACCACAATGCCCTGGGAAATAAGGGAATGACCTACTTTTCAGCAAATCAAATGGTGTTTTTTTCGATCCTCATCCTTCTTAATATTTTTGGCATATCAAACTGTTTACCACCCTCTCCTTGCCAAAGAGCTTCCCTTGGCTGATGTGTAACACACCAACTTAGTCTTCTTGTTTCAAAAGCACAATTGCTTCTTTCTCCACATTTACACACTGACCCTATTCCATGTCCCAGTCTCTATCTGAGCATGTTCCCCCAAATCCAATCATCAATCTAACACTCTTCTCTGACACTTTAAGAAAATACATCCTTGATTTAGTCTTAGTCATCACCTCTGTGTATTTGAAAATCAAATCCTTCTTGACAACTCATCCTTCACCCAATTCTAGGACTGTATCTTTATCATTCTATCACATAGATTTTCTAGGAAAAAAAGAATGAGGCTGTCATTCTTAACAGAACAACATATCCAAATGATTAGCTTCCCAAATGTGTTATTTTTCTATGGCCCTCAGGAAAACAGTACAACCAGAAAATTAGTCAAAATAGAAGCAATGAAATATCAGTTTCACAAAGGATTAGACTACATTTTTCTTAGCATTCACTGTATTCATTTCTAAATCAAAATCACTAGGGTTCATAGGTGGCAGAGATATTCCAGTTTCTATGAAATTTTACATGTGAACTATATGCCCTGACATTCCATATCTCCCCTTCCTGACCTTGAAATCAAGAATTCACTCTCAAAGTAGGGTCTTTTATCGGGAACACTGAGCACAGAGGTTGCCTTAACAAGAAAGCAATTCTAATTCTGTAAACTGCTGCCACTCCATTCCTGAGAGAGATCAAATGATCCTTTCAGTAAAACCTGTCTTTCTATTACCAGGAACGAGAAGTTTAACAAATAACCAACGCAGGAATTTAAAAGTTTCATGTGTGGATGTCCTGAAACAGATCCTGGCTGCGTCGGAACGTATGTTTTGTCTTAACAGAGTCTTCTTACTTCTCCAGTCCTAACTTGAGAAAGTCTCCCATTATGCACAGTTGTCATAAATATTCCCTTCTAATTTACACTGCATTCAAATCAGCAACCATTTACTGAGTAGGGCTAGAGACCTGAAAATAAATATGCCAGAACCTCTGCAGGCTGTGATTCTAAAGGAAGTGTTCCAAGCCCAGCTCCACCATTCAGCAGCCATGTCACCTTGGGCAAGTAATTCACCTCTCTGCCCACGTTTCCTCTTCCGTTCCACATGGAGAATAATAGTGCCTATGCCATAGGCCAGGCGGTTCTGATGATGGAATGAAACAACTCATATAATGTGAGTAATCATATTATCTTCCTCGTGAGGCCTTGAGGGAATTAAATAACTGGGTACAAGCAAAACCGAGAGAATGGTTTCGGACACACAGCATGCATAACATTGAAACGCAGTCCTCATCATCACTGGTATAAATAAATGACTGGCAGTCCTCATCATCATTGTTGTTTCCTGATATCACACAGTTAGTTAAGGAGTTTCAACAAGATTCAGTGGCAGGAACACAGAGCAAGTCATTCTGAGAAG